GGGGCCGCAGCTGGACACGGGCCGGGCCCGGGGCAGCGCGTCCGTGCGGCGGCAGCACCGCCCTGCCCCGCACCGCCTCGCAGGGCTTAAATGGGCCTTCTGGCTAAACGAGAGGCAGCCCGAGGAACGCCGACGAGTCAGCCCGAACGGGTGTAAACTGATCAGCGCTGAAAACGGGGCTTTGCAGAGGTCACCGGTGCTGCTTGTCACACAGCTCTGAAGTGACAAGGAAAAGGCAACAGCTGTTGAAGGCCAAGAATGTTCATTAATTTGATAAAGCAAGAGTTCAGCCCTCTCTAGAAGCTCAGCCTTTGATTCCACGGAGCATGTAGGTACCTGCTGGGAGCTGAGCAGGTGCTCACAGACTGTGATGACTTCAGGGCCCAGGCAGCTGTGATACGGATCTCCAACCAGATGGAAATCAGCAGAATGGGGTGTACGAGCAGACAAAACAGTTCTGCTTTTCTCAGGCTGCCCCAAAAGCTAATTATTTTTTTCCCCCTTAACATTAATTCACATTTCAGTGATCTCAGGTAAAGCTGCTTCTGATTCCAGATTCCCATGTTGGAGAGCTGTGATGTGCTCAGCCAGCAAAGTGCCCCATTCACTATGGGACAACTTTCTCTGCAGCTTTTTTGTAACAATTATTTGGTCCATTTTGTCACCAGAGTTTTGGTGCCAGCATCCCCAGAACCCTCATCTGGTGCTCCCTGGGTCCTGCTCTACAGACATAACCCTCCTGAGCCCACAACCCTCTTGTTGTTCCATTTACTTTGCTTTAGAGACTGGAAATACTGATGAGCAGCCACACACCTCCAGCTTTCCCTGGATGTCCCACTGTGCTACCTCCTCCCTGCAGGACTTCACCAAGTCCAAGCCCTGCCTTTTCACTCAGACATTATCCCAGATGTTTGTGGCCCAACTTTAAATTTGCCTGGCTCTCAGATACAGATAGGACTTTCCAAGAGATAACTACTCATTAAAGCTAAACAGGGCAAACCAGCCATAGTTTTCATATTTGTAAAGAACCAGCTCCATTTTCAGGGAAGCAAAACTGCTCCAGCATGCATCCAGGTAACTCTTCCATGCGAATTTGTATGACAAGCAACCCAGTGCAGGTGTAACAGCTATGACTGCTGACACTAATTAGAAAAATCAAAGCTATCCCACTTGTCTTAAGACATTTGACACCTATTTTGCTAAGTTAACCTTTTCCCATTCCTCTGTTGCCATTTTTAAACCTTTGGTGTTTTCAGTGCAAGAACAAAATGAACCCTGGAAGCAAAGGTTGGGAAGCAATCTCAAGAAAAACAACAATATTGCTTCACAGAAAAGCCATAGCATATTAACTCCCAACAAAAACCCACCATCAAATAAACCCTAGGGTGATTAATATTCTTAGCATGTCTAGATAAATCTGAAAATGCACATTCTAAACATCATTATTTTTGTCACAAAACTCCTGTAAAGTATTCAGTGACTACTCGACTTCTAGTAGCTTAATTTAGAGTTCTGAAGAGGAACTGTTTCTAGCCACAGAAGCAGAGCAAAAGCAGATATAGGCAGCCCAGGATATTTTAAACAATCTGAGATCCAAGTGAACATTGAGGCCAAGAGGATGTTTTCTTAATGGAAGAAATAGAAGCATCCTGGATTTTGTTTTCCAGCTAATAGGTATAAAGAGGAATAAACAGCTGCTTTTTGTTTCCCCCCCAAAAAAATATTTGCATTAGGAAGATTCCTTCTGCAATGGATGTAACATCTTTTCAAATGAGGACCAGCTGCTTGCTTTGCTTGTTTATAGCAGGACATGCTTAAGGGACTGTGTTTTGTTGGTTGTTTATGAAGATGTAGGATCCTGGTCGGCTGCAGCTCGTGGTGGAGCTCAGCAGGCAGAAGGTTCCACATGTGCAACTGCAGCTGTAGCCAGCCTGCCTTCTGCTGCCATCCATAGAATCAAGTCATGGAATAGTTTGGGTTGCAGGGACCTTAAAGATCACCTAGATCCAACCCCCCTGCACAGGCAGGGACACCTCCCACCAGCCCAGGTTGCTCCAAGCCCCATCCAACCTGCCCTTCAACACTGCCAGGGATGGGGCAGCCACAGCTTCCCTGGGCAACCTGGGCCAGGATCTCACCACCCTCACAGCAAAGAATTTCCTCCTCATGTCCAAATTAAATCTCCCCTCCTCAAATTTTAATCCATTCCCCCTCATCACATCCCTCCCTGCCCTTATCCCAAGTCCCTCCCCAGCTTTCCTGGAGCCCCTTCAGGCACTGGAAGGTGCTCTAAGGTCTCCCTGGAGCCTTCTCTTCTCCAGGCTGAACACCCCAACTCTCCCAGCCTGTCTCCAGAGCAGAGCTGCTCCAGCCCTTGGATCATCTCTCTGGCCTCCTCTGGACTCTCTCCAGGAGCTCTATGTCCTTCTTATGTTGGGGGCTCCAGAACTGGACACAGCTATGCAGGAGGGGGGGTCATACAAGAGCTAAGTAAAGGGGCAGAATCCTCTCCCTTGACCTCCTGCCACACTGCTTTTGATACAGCCCAGGGAAGGGTTGACACCAAATCCAGCTAATTCGGAGACACTGGATAAAATTGAGTGCTCTGACCTTCACCACAGGTATTTCCCACACCTCCTGCCATGGGATCACCCATCTCAACAGAAATGAGCGTGCTCTAAAGCCTTACTGTCAGGCACTGGGCATCTTTAAGTGAGGGTCTGTAAACAAAGGAATCAAACAGTGGTGTCACTTGGCAGCTGAAGGGCCCTATAACATCAGCTTCATCTGCAATTAATAACAAAGCTTTTGATCTCACAATCAGCAACTAGAAAACCCATGTGCTTTCCCTGCCTGTTTGATTATATTCAAGGAAGCAAAAGGATAAATACTTCTTAGCATTACAAAGTGCTTTTCACATGAAGTCAGACCTTCATCAAGCATTTGGGGTCCAACACAATGTGGTTTTTATTTTCTCCTCCTGCATGCCTGGTGAAATGCTGTTTATTTTGTTTATTTCAATGTTGAGCCAGGACCAAGGGTGACAATGAAAACATGCTTGGAAACAAGGTCCTAGAGAAAACTTTCATGCTTCACTGAAGAACTCATTTTTCTATTAAAGAAAAAGACATCTTGTGGGGGATTTTTAGGTCAGATTGCCTGTTTTCTTTCATGTCAAGCTTGTGGCTCTTAAAAGATACGTAAACTTTTATGAGGGGTTCTCATAAACTGAATTTATGGCTGTGTCTTCCAGCAATGGTAAATTTTAGCTTGCTGGGGTTTATTAGTCAGAGTCAGTAAACCAGCAGCATCCCTTGATTTGAGGTGGAAAACTCAGCATTTCTTGGAAACTAAGATAGGAAAAAGGTACCTACAACACTACCCAACGTCTTGGAATTCCATACTCAAGCCACAGACAGGTCTCACTATGGAGATCCTTGTACACACTGTCAAAATAGCACACAAAC